TTATACAATATTTGTCCTTTTGTGACTGTTCTGTCCCTCTTCTTGATAAAATTGAGTTTCATAGTGTATTTCATAGTGTATTTCTCTAGTGCAGGGTGCAGGAGTTATTTAGCTCTGCATGGCTGATTTCCCTCACTAATAGACATTTTGGGAGGGGACAAGTTTATTTCATTTATTAACTTACTTTTAGCATTGTAAAAATACAGATTACACAGATAACACAACATTTGCCGATTCAACATTTTGTATGTGTGTAATTCATTCACACCATTACATCAAAAAAATACAGACTGCTTCATGAATTTGCAAATCATCTTGCTCAGGGGCCATGCTAATCTTCCCTGAATTGTTCCAATTTTAGTGTATGTGCTGCCAAAGCAAACATTGGCTTACTATATTTTATTACAGTATTGGATCATCAGCATTCACCATAGCATTGAAGTTACCTGAAAAAAATGAGCTTTAATGCCTACAAAGTATTTTATTGTGTGGAAGTTATCATAGTGTATGATAGTCCCCTATTACTGGTATCATAGTGTATGATAGTCCCCTGTGAATATTTAGTCTATTTCCAGTTTCTCATTATTGTAAATTAGGTTTCAGTAAATACTGTTATATAATAGTTATCGTGTAGTTGCATGTCCATTTATTTAGGATAAATAACGAGAAGTGAAATTACTGGGGCAAGACAGCTTCTAATAAAGTTATATCAGTTTATCTTTTTATTAGTGAACATGCTTGTCTATTTCCTGTACTCTTGCTGAAATCTGTTTCATTGTTTACTGTGCAGTTGTTACAATTCAGCATACCTTTCTTCCTCTTTCAGGAAAATCTCTAAAGGAAATGGAGCAGCCCTTGTCAGCACTTGGGATACAAGATGGTTGCCGGGTCATGTTAATTGGAAAAAAGGTAAATTGCTATTTCCACTAGAATTCCTAAGAATCAAATGACTGAGGTTTTTTACTCGTGTTTCTGTTTGAGATATATTGGGGGATCCACGTTGTGCATTGGTGAAACTCCTCTAAACAAATGCAGTTGTTCAATGTGGTGGTTGTTATGTGCTGTCGAGTCGGACCCAACTCATAGTGACCCCTCCTTGGGTTTCTGAGGCTGTATCATGAAGGAAGTAGATTACCCAGCCTTCCTTTTGAGGAATGGCTGGTGGGTTTGAACCGCCAGCCTTCTGGTTAGCAGGCAAGTGCCTTAGGCACAGGTAATGTGGTTACCAGTTTTGTTTTTCCTGTACCTGGGAGCCCATGCGCCTGCTTCCGTGGGTTAGGGCTGTGAATTAGGAGTGGTGGTGCTGACTCTTTAAAGTGGTTTTTGTCTTGGTAGTAACGTCTCAGTCTAGTTAAAAAATGGTTCCTGAGAAACTGGGTTTACTCACTTGGCGTGGGATTTGAAGAGTATTTTTTAAAAATAAACTTGAAGATTTAAAAAATAAGTACCCTGTGCAAGTAAGTTTCAGGAGCCTTTCTCCCTTTAACCACCCTTCTTACTAATCTCTCACAAGGAGAAACCTCTTTGGCTAGAGGAAAGTTTCAGACTAAAGAACTGAAGGAGAAAAGGAGCCAGCAGTTGGGTGAGGTCATTTGGTGACAGCTGAAGGCAGTAGCTCCTGAGGTTATGAAAGAGGGGTGTGGTCAGCCTTGCATTGTGACACAGAGAAATTGTTGGTCCTATGAAGTCGTCTTATTTTGAGTGAGCTGATTGGTTCTGAGTGCAAAGGGCAGGGATCAGCAGAGATGGAGCAAAGAAAATCTAATCCATACTGGGAACTACCAGGGAACTGGGACTCAGGATTTGGGCAGAAAGAGGAATGAACAATTTGAGATAGTGTAATAAAACTGAAAACTGCTGGCCCTGGCTACCGGTTATCTAGGTGAAAGAAAGGAAAATGTTCTAGGTTTTTTACTTAAAGATCACAGAAATGGTGATGGGTTGAGTTTGAAGAAGCTATATATTCCCCAGTTGGAGTTTTATGGGGATGTATGGAGGCAAGTCTGAATTCAAGTCTCAGCTCCATGTCTTTTCGACTGTGGGACCTTTGGTTACTATATTAAACCTCAGTTTCATGATCTATAAAATAATACCTCCCTCTTAAGTTTCTAGGATCTCTGGTAGCATAGTGGCTAAAGCACTTGACTGCTAACCAGAAGGCTGGCGGTTCAAACCCACCAGCCACTCCTCAGAAGGAAGGTTGGGCAATCCTACTTCCGTAGTGATACTGCCTCGGAAACCCAAGGAGGGGTCGCTATGAGTTGGGGCCGACTCGACGGCACATAACAACAACAACAACAACAACTTAAGTTTCTGCTAAGGCTTAAAACAAATTACACAGTAAGGTGTTTAGCATAGTGCCTGACATATCAAAACCCAAAAAACCCACTGCCATCAAATTGATTCCAACTCGTAGTGACTTCATTGGGTTTCCAAGGGGGTGAATCTTTACAGAAGTAGATTGCCCCATCTTCTTTCCTCAGAGTGGGTGGTGGGTTTGAACCACTAGTCTTATGATTACCAGTCATATGCCCTAGGCACTGTGTTACCAGAGTTCCTTATTGTTGTTAGGTGCCGTCCAGTCAGCTCTGACCCATAGCGACCCCATGTACAACAGAATGTAACACTGCCTGGTCCTGCATCAGCCTCACAATCCTTGCTATACCTGAGCCCATCATTGCAGCCACTATTCTAATCCATCTTGTTGAGGTCCTACCCCTTTTTTGTTGATCCTCCACTTTACAAAGCATGATATCCTTCTCTAGGGAGTGGTCCCTTCTGACACCATGACCAAAGTAGGTGAGAGGAAGTCTGGCCATTCTCGCTTCCAAAGAGCATTCTGGCTGCACTTTTTCCAGGACAGATTTGTTAGTTCTTCTGGCAGTCCATGGTACAGTATTCTTCGCCAACACTACAACTCAAAAGCATGAACTCTTCTTCAGTCTTCCTTATTCGTTGTCCATGGGTGTTGATTGTGGAACCAAGTAATATGAAATCTTTGACAACTTCAATCTTTTCTGTATCATGTTGCTGCTTATTGGTCCAGTTGTGAGGATTTTTGTTTTCTTTATGTTGAGATGTAATCCATACTGCAGACTGGTGTCTTTAATCTTCATCAATAAGTGCTTCAAGTCGTCCTTACTATCAGCAAGCAAAGTTGCATCATCTGTGTATTGCAGGTTGTTAATGAGTCTTCCTCCAATCCTAATGCTGTGTTCTTCTTCATATAGTCCAGCTTCTCAGATTTATTCAGCATACGATTGAGTGAAAGGATACAACCCTGATTCCTTCTTTCTTTCTTTATTTTTATTGTGATTTGGGTGAAGATTTACAGAGCAAATTCTCTTTCCGTACAGCAGTTCACATATACTTTGTCTCATGTCATTGACCACAGTTTACCACAATGCGACAGCTCCCCTCCCACTTCCTCCCTATAGTTACCTCTTCCCACTGTCCATCCCTCCTTTCTCTCCTGCCCCCTGAGCTGTCTCCCTGTGCATATGCAGCCCTTCTTTCTCCCATGATTATTCTCTCCAAGGCGTGTATCTACTTGAGGTAAATGTTTAACTCACATACCTGTATTTTGTTTGGCTGGAAACCACACGTGTGTGTTCAATTCCAGACCTGAAGGGCAGCTAGGGGCCATAGTCTCAATGGTTCCACCAGGCTCTATAAGACCAGCAAACCTGGTCCCCACCTTTTTTTTCTTTTTTCCTCCAAATGATTTTGAGTTTTCTTCCACATTGTTCTCCCTCTCTATCCAGGATCTCCTACTTAGATCTCCTTCCAAGTGGATAACAGTGGTAGCCGGGCACCATCTAGTTCTTCTGGTCTCATAGTTGTATAGGCTGCAGATCGGATGGTATACCAGTTGCTAGGACTAATTGTTCCCATGAATTTTTGGTTTTCTTCATTCTTCTTTGCTCTGGATGAGGAGAGACCCATCGTTGCATCTAGA